ACCAGACCCTCCTTGTTGGTGAGGATGAGATCCAGCAGCGCTCCTCTCCTGGTCGGCTCATCCACCATTTGCAGGAGGAAGTTATCATCCATACACTGGAGGAACCTCCTGGACTGTGGCTGGGTTGCTGAGTGGTCCTTCCAGCAAACATCAGGGAAGTTAAAATCCCCCACGACGACCACGGCCTGTGACTGTGAGGCCGCTCTCAGCTGCCTGTAGAAGGCCTCGTCAACTTCCTCACCCTGATCTGGTGGTCTGTAACAGACACCCACAACAGTATCCCCCCTGCCAGCCTGCCCCTTAATTCTCACCCACAGACTCTCAACTCGCTCGTCATCTGTCCCTGGACAGAACTCGGTGCATTGTAGTTGCTCCCGCACATAAAGAGCAACCCCACCACCCCGCCTGGCTGGCCTGTCTTTTCTGAAAAGGACATAGCCCTCCATGACTATATTCCAGTCATGTGAGCTGTCCCACCACGTCTCTGTAATTGCCACCAGATCACAGTCTCCTGACTTAACACAGGTTTCCAACTCCTCCTGCTTATTTCCCATGCTGCGCGCATTGGTGTACAGACATTCCAGGGAGCGAGCCAAGCACACCGATTTCACCCTAGGATTATAGGAGGCCTCCCAGTCTTCATCAATTCTGGAGCGCTGCCCCACTGGGGCAAGCCCAGCTACAACCCCATCCCCCTTCGAATCTAGTTTAAAGCTCTCCAAATGAGCCCTGCTAATTCGTGCCCCAGCATCCTTTTGCCTCTGTGAGATAAACCTTTCCCACTTGTCATTGTCCAGACTGGTGCCCTATAAAACCAGCTGTTATCAAGGAATCCAAAGCCCTGCCTGTAGCACCAGTCTCGAAGCCAGTCGTTTATGAACTGAATCTTCCCATTCCTTCCCACATCATCAGTGGAAGATGGAAGGAGTGAGGAGAAGATCACTTGAGCCCCAGACTCTTTCACCATCCTCCCCAAGGCCCTGTAGTCTTTCTTCATCCCCCTCAGACTGCGGGAAGCAGCTTCCCCCCAACCTGTCTGGAAGACCAGCAGCGGGTAGTAATCTGTCGGGTGCACCAGGTTGGGGAGCGCCCTGGTGATATCCCTGATCCGGGCTCCAGGCAGACTACACACTTCCCTATGATGAGGGTCAACTCTGCATATCGGGCCCTCTGTTCCTCTCAGAAGGGAATTCCCTACTACAATGACCCTTCTTTCTTTCTTATCAGAGGCAGTCTTGAGGTGCAAAGTCGACCCCCTTTACCGATGTGGCCTTGTGGGCTGGCCTTGTACCACATTCTCACCTACCTCTCCTTCAAGATCCAGGGCCTCGAACCTATTATGGAGGGACACCTGGGGAAGCAGGGCAGGAAGGGGGGAGGGTTTCCCACGACGTCGAACTGGAACTCACTTCCAACCCTCGTCGTCTTTTTGGTCCCCTACCTCTGCGCAACAGCTACAGGGCAGGGGCTGTCTCGGGCCATCCCCGTCTGTGTGAGAAGGCAGGGGGTCCTTCCCCTTTTGGGGGGTATCTCCCTGGAACCGTTCCGACTGGCACGCCAGGGAGTTACTCCACCAGCCGATCTCCCTTTCACACTCCCTGATAGTCCTCAGCGTCTCAACCTCCTCCTTAAGTCTTGCCACCAGGCTAAGCAGATCTTCTACCTGCTGCCACCTCACGCAGGTGGAATGCTGTCCTCCCTCCCCCGGCAGCAGCAGGCTCTGGCACTCCCTGCACCCAGAGACCTGAACAGCCACGGTTTGGGACGGGGTCGAGATGATCTTAAGTTCCTTTCCAACTCAAAACATTCTACGATTCTATGATTTTATATGATTATAGGCATCGGTGCTATACAGAAATTCTTGCCAGGAATTTTACATTAGCTTTTTCTATGCAGATACAGAAGGAGATTATTTAAATAAGAAACATGGAGTTTATTGTACACTAGGATAAAGGGTTGTCCATTTTTGGCATGTCTTAAGACACATGGTGTCTTGCCTAATATGCTGTTTGGTTCTAGCAGATGGTGACAAAGAAATAAGTAGCTAATAAACTTGCATGTTCTGTAGGGACTGTTGAGGGGAAGAAAGTCTTTACAAAATATTTTTGTTGCTATAGACTTAATTACTGAAATAGCCATGTACCTGTGTGTGTGTACATTATTTTAACTGAATAAATCAATAGCCTAGGATTAAAATAATAAAAATATTTGTGTGCTTGAGTTTTTTCCCTTAACAAAGCCATGATAGTGTTCAAGTTGAATGGCATTATCATCATTAATAGTAGGATCTGGTCTGCTGAATCTGTATTAAGTAATGGGAGTAAGCGGGTATTCATTACACTGGTGCAGCACTGCTCTTGTTTCATGGACACATTTCAAGTGCTTACTTTTTGGATAGGTATGTATTATAGGCAGTATTAATTTCCATAGCAAGAGGTAAACCCAGTGCTACTTTTTATGAACTTTTCATGTTTGTGAGAAAGTTCATCTATAACCTGAGTGTAGTACTGGTGAAAAATTGATATGATATTTGCCTTAAAATTTAGCATGGGCCAAAAATTGTGCTTGCTTACAGTGATCAAAAGTTCAGAGTCTTTTACTGGGTGCATCTCTTCTATCTGCCTGGGAGTTACAAGACATATGTTTAATTAGAATTACCATGAAGAACTTTAGGGTTCCTGGTATTTTCAGAACTTTTTTTGTAATTAAATTACTTGTGTGTTCATTCTCTGAATTATCTGGTCAGCCTGTCATAGAAAACATTTACTAACCATAAGTTATGGTTTTGTAGGTTTGTTGGGTTTTGTTCTCCTCCTTCCCGTCCCCTGCCCCAGCGCTTTTTGCTAAGTTTTTTCTTCATTACACTAATATGGGAATATTTGCCTGCATTTGCATTAAGACAAGCTTCTCCTGTCCTTTTGATCACTACTTTTATCTTCTGGGGTGAAACTAATCTTATGCTCACTGCATCATTACCTTTTGCAATTAAATTAGCTATTCTTTGTCATTTGTAATCATTAGCTGAACCCAAGAGAAGCCCAACCAATCCACAAAGTCTGGGTGGATTGTGCCGAAAAGATGACAGTTACTGTTTCTATATGCAGACTTTAGGTCAGATGTCACCAAATCACTAGAACTCCTTCTTGGGTAAATGCATTGTGTTTGGAATGGCAGATGAATGTTACAGAATGAAATGAAGATGTTAAAATATAGGTATTTTTCTCTTTGCCTTATATTTTCACAAAGGGGAAGAGCAGAGATGCAGATTTGATAATTTTAATCCAAAAGATTAATTAGATTTCATAGATTTCTTGTCCCTTCTGGATTCTTTAGTAGCATTTAATGTATAGGTGATCTTAATTCAGTATTTGAAGGGGGCCCTACAAGGATGCTGGAGAGGGACTCTTCATTAGGGACTGTAGTGATAGGAGAAGGGGTAACAGGATCAGACTTAAACAGGGGAAGTTTAGATTAGATATAAGGAATGAGTTCTTTACTGTGAGGGTGGTGAGGCACTGGAATGGGTTGCCCATGAATGAATGCCCATGAATGAATGCCCATGAATGCTCCATCCCTGATGGTGTTCAAGGCCAGGCTGGATGGAGTCTTGGATGACATGGTTTAGTGTGTGGTGTCCCTGCCCATGGCAGAGGGTTAGAACTAGGTGATCTTATGGTCCTTTCCAGTCCTAACTGTTCTATGATTCTGTGATTCTGTTCTATGACAACACGAAATATCTGGCAGTGGCATTCCAGGCAAGATGGAAGATCTTGTGGGTGAAGATTTCACAGTCTATGTGGATAAAAGTAATGTATCCAAATATAGGAGGGTGTTAGGAATAAGCATGAGATGCTTTCTTGGCAAGATGTCTTCTGTTCCTCAAGGTAGGAAATACATTGTGGACTTTAGTGGAGAACTTTGTAGAGTGCCCCATAATTACTGCAACTAGAACAAACATTGATCAATTAAAGGAGGGCAAAAAATGTCTGAAGAAACATGAAAGAGAAGCTACTAGATCAAAAAGAGGATAGAAGACCAGTTTTTAAAGAGTTAGTGTTGGGATTCATTTTGTTTAATGGTCTCCTTAATGGTAGTATAGAATTAGGAGTGAAATGATGGAAATTGTTGATGACAGAAACTTGGAATCCATCATCAGTATATAGGAACAACAGTAGATTTCAGAGGATGAACTTGATGTTTAATTTTTGTTGTATAAAGCAGAAAACTTGTGTTTAAGGAGTAAAAATATTTTCTTGCTGTGATGTAGAAACTCAGCATTTAAAAATATGTGGATTCTGGGAATGACTCTGTTCTGCCAATATGATGAGGGTATTTGAAATTGTGAACGATTGTAGGATGGTTCAGGTATGAAAGGACTACATGGTTGCCTGCAGCTGGAGGAATTGAACTGGATGAATTCAGAGTCACATAATCATAGAATGGTTCGAGTTGGAAGGAACCTTAAAGATCATCTAGTTTCAGCTCCCCTGACGTGGGCAGGGACACCTTCCACTAGACCAGGTTGCTTAAAGCCTCATCCAACCATCCAACCAGCCCTTAAACATTTTGAGGGATGGGGCATCCACTGCTTCTCTGGACAACCAGTGCCTCACTATCCTCACAGTGAAGATTTTTTTTTTTTTTTCCCATGATATCTAAATCTCCCCTCTGTCAGCACAGATTTGTGCAGTGTGCCCATATTGTCTGTCTCCTGTTTCAACAAATGATCTGAAACTGTTTATTTTAGTTTATAAAGTAGAACAGTACTTCTAGTATTTCTGAATACATTATGCTGCATAAGCCTTTGTAGAAATTACTTAGTGAGATACAGAATCAGCTCTAGCTTTTCATTTGTTCTGTTGTGTTTTTTTTAACTTAGGATTTTGGTAGTCTGTTACATTTGGAACAATAGGCTGTTGTGCAGGTTTTGTCTTCAGTGAACCTAATTTCCTTTTAGCACTGCATTTAGAAACATTGCCAGCTTTGTTTCATTATTTTAGCTCTCTAGTTCTGCAGCCTTGGAAGGGAAAGGACAATTAAAATTTACTTCTGGAAGATGGAGTCCACACCACAATTGCACACAGATTGCAACAGCCAATGACACCACTGTTCGAGGATGGGATACACGAAGCATGAGGTAATGAGAAATCATGGTCATGTTCTTTAAGAAAGACAATCTCCTTTGGAGATAGATTTTTTTTTTTTTTTTCATTGCTCCTAAATTTATTTTTATTTTACTTTTTTTTTTTTTTTACTTTTTTTTCTTTTTAGGATTGGTAATGTGGCAAAGCTATCAGTTTTAAAAGAAATGGTTGGGCTTGCATTGGTGATATATTTAGTAAAGGGTTTTCTCTGTTTCCCCCCTCTCAGCTTCAATTCTAAGTTGTATATTGAGTTTTAATGAACTATGCGGTAGTCTCAGGATAATTTTTTTAATACATGGGCATTACCTGAATGAAGCTGCTCTATAATTCAACTTGAGAATGATTTAACAGCATTTCTGACTATGCTGTGAACTGTCTTAGTAGCATATTATTTAAAGATAACTTTAATTTCTGAAAGTAATTCATAGGTTAAGTTCATTCCTCAATATTCTTATTTTAACAAATAGCATACTATGCTATATTAAAGATTTTAGCATGCTAGTCGTATGAAACTACTGAATCTATCGAAATCATGACCAAATCAAAGCTTTAAATGTACCTAATAAGGTGTTTTCCCCCCTGCTCAGTTGTGATTTTGATAAGCAAAGGAGTGATGTTTTGCACATCTGTTGCTATGACTACTAAAGCCTGTGCAAGCTTTTTTAAGATATGCTTTATCCCTTTAGCACATAGTAATTTATCACTAAACCAAGAAGGCTGATGTCTTGTAATAACTTTTGTTGCCTTAAAGGGGGATGACTTTAAATTTAGTTCTCTGGTTCCTGCCAGCTCAGGGGTGTAGTGATAAATCCCAATGCTCGCCAGCCTTGTATGGCTTTGACAAAAAGGTTTATTTAATTTAAGAAAAAAAAATCTAAAAATACAAATGTAATAATTAAAAGTCAGTTCCTGAAAGCTTGTCATCAGGTTTGAAAGTCCTGTTCTTTGACTTGTAAAAGAATATATAAAAATCTAACTTCGTATATATGTGTATACTTTCATTCATGAAGGTGCTTTTAAAGGAAACGTACAATAAAGGAAAGGTGAAAGGAGAAAAGGTTGTGTTTAATTTGATTTTTTTAATGATGTTTCTGTAATAATTCTATTTTTTAACACATAGCAGGCAGACCTTAAGATTAAAACCTATTTTTCCAAGTCGAAAATGTTAACTGTTGTGAAGTCTGCTTCATGATTTGTCTCATTAGAAAAAGCTTTTTTGTCTTTCATTAAGTGAATACTCTGAGTAACTTGAAAAATATGTGCAAAAGTCATTTCTGCAATTACACTCTAATGTGTCTAGAATGATGTGAATATTGGATAATGACTAGTCAGGCTAGAAGTATAAACTGTGGCAGTACAAGATGCAAAAAAATGAGGGAGAGTGAGAAATCAAGAACAGAAAACTGCTATACAAGCAAAGAATAAGGGGGATTCTAAAGAAGTAGTTAGAACAGCTACTTCCACAGAATGTGATTATGATAACTATAAAATAGATGGAGTAAATTATTTTGGACATAGTAAACAAAGAAGGGGAGTAAAAAAAGAGGTTGTTGGGAAGACGACTGAGATTAAATGAGGGAAACAGTCTTCATCCAGCATAGGGTTTGTGAAGCAAAAGAGACTAAACACTAGGAAGCAGACACTAGACTGAATGGATTTAGATGGAGAATTGTATTGGGAAAATTCAGACTCTGAGAATAGATTAAAAAAAAAAAAAAAGGAAGAGTATGAGACAGAGGAGCCAGAAGCTGGAGAAAATGTTTGTGTGGTCTGGCCTTAATCTGGTAATGTAAGAGGGAAATTTGGTGTAGGTATTATTGCTGTAGGTAAGGTGATAGAGTGAAAGAGAAGATGATTCATGTTTGGGAAGGTAAGGGAACAAGTGGCCAGAGTAATAGTTAAGTTGGGATAAAGGCCTTCATAGTAAGCACTGTTGAATATAGGATGGACAGTGGTATTTCTTTTTAAGCCCTTGTATACATCTCCATGAGCAGGGCAAGAAGTGAAAGTTTCAGTAAAGGAGGAAAGAAGTGTTTTATTGCTGGAAGCATGCTTGAGATTTAAAAAAAAAAAATCCTGTGAAGATGTTTCAAGAAATTAAAAGGAAATGTTGAATACAGCTCTTGGAATATCTGGTAGAAAGGAATACCTGAGTTATATCCTTAACTTCTCAAGCTCTGAGAGGAGTGTTGACATGGGATACCTAAGTAGTATCTTCTATCCTGAGTGACTGCCATAGCAGAACTTTGGTAGATGGTGACATTGAGAAAACTGGTAATGCAATAGTGGAAACAAAAATAAAAACCCACAACCCAAGTTTAAGAGACTAGGTAGAGAGACAAACTGGCAGAACGTGGTGTTTTGAATAAGAGTGCTAGGTTGTTAGCAGTACTGTAAATGTTTTCTGAAGTGGTCCAGTTGGATGAGTATATACATGGCAGAGTTTAAGGGCCACAGGTAAATTAATGATAAATGCTAGAGCTCAGGAAGGTAAGTACAAAATTGGGCAATAATAAAAAGCTGTTGTTCATATCTGTTGCATCCCTTGCATCTTGTTTTTTTCATGTAGGGAGAAGTAGGTGTTATCAATACAGAATTAGTAAAACCGCTTAGGAGTGGAGAAGCTCTTATCTGAAAATATTGTGGTTTAATAGTGGACATTTCATAACAGTTGTTAAGAGAGCTGTACTAGAATCATCTGGAACTACTGTTTCCTTTTAGCTTCAGATGATCCTAATGCAAACAAGAAAAGAGCAAAGCTTTGAATCAAGCTGAGAAATCTATACAAGTCACTGTTGTTAACAGCTGGGATTTCCTTAAAGTATGCACTAGTAATGGGAAGTCTAGGTCTGCGAGTGCTGAGGGGATTATGCAAGTTTCCAGGGAAACAGATTCCTGTCAGTGGAGTGCGGTTAGCTTTCTATAGACCATTTAATTTTTTTAATGTGTTTTACAGACAGATATATTGCATAGAAAATGCACACGGACAGCTGGTACGAGACCTAGACTTTAATCCCAATAAACAGTACTACCTGGCTAGCTGCGGAGATGACTGCAAGGTGAAATTCTGGGACACGAGAAATGTCACTGAACCAGTGAAGACACTAGAGGAGCATTCCCACTGGTAGAACAAAATATCTGCATGCTGTTTTGTGGGTGGATGGTTTATGTAATTTATTCAGCTAATTATTTTACTGTTTAGGAACAATGCAAGCTAACTATGTTTTGTGCTATTGTGAATAATCATTTTTCTGCACAGAGGAAAGGTTTCAACATGTGAATGTTCCTTGTGTGATTGTAAATTAGGAGCTTAGATGATATTAGTCTAATTGGCAAGGAACTGTTGTTAACACTGTGGGGAGATAGGGTACTCCTTTGAGAAGCACAGAACAAAACTTGGCTTGTAGGTGCCAGCTGGGATACAGGTGTGCCTTTCCAAATCCAGCCTGATCTGCTGCACCTGATGTACAGAAAAGCAGCTGCCGTCTATCCTTCTGTTGTTGAATGGTTGAAACGCTCAGTAATTCAGCCCCATATTTTTCATGCTTTTCACAGCCCTTAAGCCAGAATATGCAAGAGAGTAATTTTATTTTCTGAGAGAATACTTAGAACCTGTATCTACTGCTCTGGCCTCTGGCTGGAGCAAGGATAGAATCTTGTCTGACGTTTGCAGACTTCAGTGGTTGAGAAAAGATGAGCGGTTCATATTTTATAGAATTTGGGTTGGAGTAATTCTTGCAAAATAAATCTGGACCCTGAAGCTAGTTTGAGGGGAATGAAGATGTGAATTAACAAAAGCAGCATTTATACTTTTTTTTCCAGAAGATTAAAGGAAAAAGAATAGAATGAGAACCATAAGATATTTAGTATTAACTTGATATGTAAAATCTAAAAATTGTAGAGAAATATAATCCTACTTTTGTTTTAGGGCCTATTTTAAACTTCTCTGTAAGAATGTTGTGAGATTTTTGTTTAACAGTTTATTTTTAATCCATATTTTGCTTTGGGGAAATTTTTATATTTAGAACTTAAACATTTATCTGTCACACTAAACAATGAATTGGTATCTGCCCTCAAGGAATGATACCACTGAATAGTGTTTTGTTCTTTGATGTTTGTGGATTTTTTCCCAAAACTTATTTGTTGAGTTTTAAAGACACCTCATAGAAAATGGATGATGTGGAAACTTAAAAGCCAAATGAAGATGGCAAAAACAGTCTTTGGAATAAGGCACGTCACTTCTAAGGATGCTTACAACATTTAAGTCAAAGATGAATTTTTAGTGCTGTTTAAAAAAAAAATGAATAAAAAATATAATTTATTGTAGATGCACTGCCTGCCAAGAATAGACTCTTGTTCTTTCTGACTTTATTTTTAGGGTATGGAATGTCAGATACAATCACTCTCATGATCAGCTGATCCTTACAGGAAGCAGTGATAGCAGAGTTATCCTTTCTAATATGGTATCAATTTCTTCCGAACCATTTGGGCATATGGTAGATGATGATGAGCTAAGTGACCAAGAGGACCAGCATCAAGAAGAGAAGTATGAAGTTTCCTGAATTTTATGAAGATGGTTATAGATTGTTTTTTAATTGTAATGGTTAATGTGCTATTTTTTTTGCTGACTAGGACTTTTGTATATAGCCCTTTCAGGTAAGTAGTTCTAATTCCTACTTCTTCTTTATTCGAGAGTCTCAAGTGGGATGCACTCTTTAAATCTGATTGGTATGATCACAGTATGTTCACTGATAGGAAGGGGATGGTGATGCTGAGGATGAGTACTAAACTGCTCTGGATCAGTGAAAAGATTCACTTTAAGGGAGCTCTGGACCGAGTCAAGAATATACAATACTCTGGGTTAAGCAAGAGTTGAAAATCTGCTTTTTGTATTTTCTGTGTATGTGTTGTAACCTTTAGGAAACGTTAGCAGTCTAATGGTGAGCTTCTGCACAGGTGGAAAAAAGATGTGTAAACACATAAATTTTTGTAAATTTTGCTCTTAATATTACTGACTGTTTTAGAAACCAGTAATTCATCAGACCTACTTCAAGCAAAACAGATGTTTGGTTTTGATACTCCTGGTAGAGAATAACACATGTTACTGCAAGCATTTCTAAAAATCATCCACTTGGGTGGGTAAGGAATCACATATACTGCATGTGAAATTTGGAGGGATGGGATTTTTAGTAAAGAGTTAACTGAAACGCTGAAATAATAATTTTTCATCCTCCATTTTTGTCTGCTTTCAACTTTTTCACTGTGTAATAGATGGTCCTTGACATCCTCTCTGTACTTCTGTATGAATATATATATGCATATAGGGAGTTCTAGAGTGGGCTGAGGCTTTCTAATTTTGCAACTAGCTTACATGGAATAGCCCGATGGGATGAGGAACAAGGAAATTACAGAAAAAAAAAATCCTCTGTTATTCAGCTGTGTCTGCTAGATGTTTCAGTTACAATTCTAAATAAGGTTAGTTTTGTAGTTGCATTTTTAAGGTTGGTCTTGCACCTTTCCTTTATTAATAAAGATGTAGTTTTGCTCCAGATGGTTTTGACATTTTGGTTTCACGTAATGGACCTGGAAACCATTTTTGAAATATTAAATAAGGAAGCTATCCCATATACAGAAATAGTTAATTTTAAATGTGCAGGATGTCTCTAGAAGCGATAGGGTGATGTAAGTGCCTTGAAAATCAAGGCGTATCAAATTAAATACCTAGAAAGCTGCTCACATCAACAGTACATACTCTCTGTAATGTAACTAAATTACAGCATTTTAAATATGATGTATGATGTACTTTTTGGTTCCTTACCTTTGGCTGGGGATTACAGCTTACTCTGTTCCGGATGGAAGATAAATAGGTTGTAACGGAAGTGAGAAAGAGACTAGGTTGTTTGGTTTGGATTTTTTTTAAACATATATGAAAGGAATGTAGTAATACAACATCGCAGGTAAATAGCATTCTGACAGATGTTGTGTAGTAGATTATCTGGAGCTCTGAATTTCTGTTGATTGTGGACTGTGTACGTTGCCTCATTAAAACACAAGTGATTGTTTCTAGAATAAGAATTTTTGAAACCAAGAATATGCAAAGCAGTACAAGTATAATGCATCTGTTACTTGGCTATGGGATGTGTGTAAACCACATCACCAATGACTTGTAATGATGTAGAGCCTTTGCCTGTTCCCAGAGGCTACAAGAGTATCAATGCCACATTTGCTTTTCAAATACATGCTTTTCAGCTGCTAATCTGCTCTCTATAAAACCTGGGAAAGAACAATGGCTTTTGTAACATTTGCTTGATACTGTCAAAGTCTTCTTTTGTTGTTTCCCCTACAACCCCCACCTTGTTATGAATTGAGCTAGAAGGATGTTTGCAAGGTGCCCACCAGCCCTGAACTGTTGCCACGTGAATGTCTGTTTAGTTCTGAGTGCACTAATGAAGCAGGGCATAACAGCTGTTGGGAATACTTCTCCTTAGTCAACCCCTAAAGCCAAGTATTTAGGCTTTAGTACCCCTTTTGCCTTCTGTAGACCTCTTTGAAGAATCTGTTGAGCCATTCCATAGGTACAGTCTCTTCTGTAAAACACATGTTTTCAGTGTATGCTTTGGTGGAAGGTGGGTGTTTGTTTCTTTGCTTGGGTACATTCTAGACTTTAAAAATAGCGTTATGTTCTCATTGGGTCCATTTTTATCCTGTTTTGGAGGACATTTTGTTTGCTATTAAATAGCACACAAATCTTGAAAAAGAAAATGTCTTTTTTTGTGTGTACCTTGAAGTACACCAGGAAGAGCAGATGTCTGTACAACTAATATCTGTAGCCAGTCACCTTCAGACTGAGAGACGAAATCTCTGACAAATGAAGGTTGAAATATCAGTTAGAAAGAAGGAAGATGTCCATCATATTTTAAAAATCGTGGCACTCAGGTGAAATTCCCAATGACTGGAAAAAGGGAAATATAACCCCCATTTTCAAGAAGGGGAAAACGGATGACCCAGGGAACTACAGACCAGTCAGTCTCGCCTCCATGTCTGGCAAAATGTTGGAGCAGATTCTCCTGGAAGGCATGCTAAGGCACATGAAAAACAACAAGGTGCTTGGTGACAGCCAGCATGGCTTCACTAAGGGGAAATGCTGCCTGACCAATTCAGTGGCCTTCTGTGATGGGGCTACAGAAATGATGGACAGGGGTAGAGCAGTTGACGCCCTCTACCTTGACTTGTGCAAAGTGTTCGACACTGTCCCACATGACATTCTTGTCTCTAAATTGGAGACATCAGTTTGATAGGTGGACCACTCAGTGGATAAAGAACTGGCTGGATGGCCGCACGCAAAGAGTTGTGGTCAATGGCTCAATGTCTGGCTGGAGACCAGTAATGACTGGCATCCCTCAGGGATTGGTGTTGTGACTGGTCTTGTTTAACATCTTTGTTGGTGACATGGACAGTGGGATTGAGTGCGCCCTCAGCAAGTTTGCCGATGACACCAAGCTGTGTGGTTCGGTTGATACGCTGGAGGGAAGGAATGCCATCCAGAAGGACCTTGACATGTTTGTGAGTTGGGCTGATGCCAGCCTCATGAAGTTTAACCATGCCAAGTGCAAGGTCCTACACCTGGGTCGGAGCAATCCCAGCCACAGCTACAGGTTGGGCAGAGAAGAGATTCAGAGCATCCCTGCAGAGAAGGACTTGGGGGTGTTGGTCGATGAGAAAATGAACGTGAGCCAGCTTCAGTGTGTGCTCACAGCCCAGAAAGCCAACCGTATCCTGGGCTGCATCAAAAGGAGTTTCTCCAGCAGGTCAAGGGAGGTGATCCTGCCCCTCTACTCTGCTCTTGTGAGACCTCACTTGGAGTATTGTGTGCAGTTCTGGTGTCCTCAACATAAAAAGGACATGGAACTGTTGGAACAAGTCCAGAGGAGGGCCACGAGGATGATCAGGGGACTGGAGCACCTCCTGTATGAAGACAGGCTGAGGAAGTTGAAGCTGTTCAGCCTGGATAAAAGAAGGCTGCATGGAGACCTCCTAGCAGCCTTCCAGTATCTGAAGGGGCCTATAACGATGCTGGGGAGGGACTCTTCGTCAGGACTGTAGCAATAGGACAAGGGGTAACGGGTTCAAACTTAAACAGGGGAAGTTTAGATTGGGTATAAGGAAGAAGTTCTTTTCTGTAAGGGTGGTGAGGCGCTGGAATGGGTTGCCCAGGGAAGCTGTGAAAGCTCCATCCCTGGCAGTGTTCAAGGCCGGGTTGGATGGAGTCTTGGCTGACATAGTTTAGTGTGAGTTGTCCCTGCCCATGGCAGGGGGATTGGAACTAGATGATCTTAAGGTCCTTTCCAACCCTAACTATTCTATGATTCTATGATTCGATGACTATTCCATGAGGATCTGTCTCTTGTTACAATCGAGTGACCTTCAGTTCCTCTTAATTGCTGATTTAGAGTAGAGCAACTAGTTTTCAGTCTCTTCCCTACCTTTATGAAGTTTACAGCTACTACTGTTCCTCTCATCAGTCATAAAAATGTAAAAGCAGCTACCCTTTATCACATCAAAGGTCTCCCTAACCTGCATCATGTTGCTGATAGTGGCCAAGAGGAAAATTGTAAAAACAGGAAAAGGAGATTATATTTCCCCTGGGTATGCTTGTAGCCCCTGTTGGCAGCTCAGGGACCTTTACTGCCTTCTGAATCATCTTTGGAGACTTCTGGTTCTTCCTTTAGGGTTTTCTATTGCCATGAGGCATATTTTTGAGTTTCTCTCTTCTCACTAACTGTGGTTTTGTTTGTTCCAAAATACGTTATCTATGCATGCACTGTCTTTGTGAAGTGTGTCTAGGAGAAATATGTCAACTGCTTTTGTTTGCTTGCTCTGAATAAAGGGAGGCTTCAGTGCTTTCTGTCTTGGAAGCCTGAAGCCTCTGTTGAAAGTAGGTAGTATAAAAAAGGATCAAGCTATCCACAGAGAGAAGGTATAGGCATGTGGCTGGAGGACAGCTGGGGTATATTTTGATCAAATTCCTAGTCTGGATAATTTAATGCACAGTTCAAATACAGAAAAAAAAATTCTGAGAAACGGGGAATGAAATGATGTACTTCTAACTTAATTTCTAGCACTTTGATCCAGAGGTAGAGAAAAAGTGCAAAAATAAATGAAAATAGAACAGATGAGGTGTGTATTTCAGGTGCATTTAACTTTCATCCCCAAAACAAACTGGTGTGCCTGGATAAAACATAGGGAATGCTTTTCAATGCCTCAGTTTGAACAAAATGTTTAAATCATGGGGTCATTCCACATCTATGGATGCAACTGATTAAGGCAGGCTTCTCTTTGGCTTCTCTTTCTTTAATGTCTTTGCACTCTGGAGTTCAAGGACTTCATCCTTGTGACACTGAATTTGCCTTAATTAGACGTCTGCAGAGCACTGAGAACTGTCCTCCTCAAGGGAGGTGGTGACTGTCTTATATCCTTTCTTCATTCTTTGGTCACCCAAAATCCTCATGTTAGTTGAGTCTGTGTTGGTTGTATTAAACTAGTCTG